CCCCCGGACCTTGCAGATGCTAAGCAGGCACTTTATCACAGAACTACAATATTTGAGCTTTTGTGACTGATTTGTTTCACTTGGCATCTCTTCAGATTTGTCCATAGTATCAGTATTTTCTTCCTTTCTAGGGCCCAATAATCTGTCATTTTCAAACATCACATTTTGTTTTTCTGTTGTAGGACACATTTGCTCCCACCTTTTGGTATTGCTGCAATGAATATGAATATATCAATATCAGTATGTAGTCAAGCCTTGCTTTTTTTTTTTTTTTTTTTTAGACAGGGTTTCACTATGTAGCCATGGCTGACATACTCCTATACGAACCATCTCAGACGGGCCTCTATCTCACAGTGATCTACCTGCCTCTGCCTCCTGAGTGCTGGGATTGAAGGTATATACCACCATGCCCAGCAGTCTCAAACTTTGCCTTTTCATTTGACTTTATTTTTGGTGCAGATAAGGGAACCAAGGTTCTGATGTGTGCTAAAGCACTTTGTTATACCCATGAATGCAACTCTAGCCCCACTTGATATTTTCTAGCACTCTTTTCATATCGTTATTTTACTCTGCTATCTTCTTTAGATATTAGACTATTTATAGAATACATTTTTATAAAAGTGGCATCCTGGGTCTTAGATAACATTGGATCATTTGTTTTGAACTATGTGCTGGCTTATCTGTTAGGTTAGTTTGATGCTTTCAAGAGAAACTATTTTGTCTTCTAATTGATTCTAAACTTATGCTTCTTAGATGTGACCAGTTAGATAGTGCTTTGAATGAAGCTACTGGTCGTGTGCAAACACTTGAAAATAAGAATAATTTACTGGAAATAGAAGTGGTAAGTACTCTTGCTGGTGGTGGTTCTAGTGGCTTAATGTTTAAAGACTTTTTTACTAACTGAACTTGAGAGACAATAGTTTTATGATAACATGTTTTTTTGCTTTTTCCTTAAGGATGTTTCTCCAAGTGTGTATGTTCATTGCTTCTTACTTCATGTAGTTTTAACTTTTATTTTTTTAATTTTTAATTTTTTTATTGGTACATTATTTTCATGTCTTGATTCACCCTTTCAAAATATACAAGTTGGTGGCTTTTAGCATAGTCAGAATTGTGCAGGCATCACCACAGTCAAATAACAGTTGCCTCGGTCAAAAAGGAGGTCTAGGGGCTGGGGAGATGGCTCAGTGGGTAAAGTGCTTGTTGTGTAAGCATGAAGACCTGAGTTTGGATACCTGGCATCTGTGTAAGATCAAGCATGGTGGCACGCATCTTTAACCCCATGCTAGGTTGGGAGTGGAAGGGGTGAAGAGAGGCAGATCCCAGGGCTCTGGCCATCTACTCTAGCTGAAATGGCAGGCTCCAGGTTCAATGAGAGACTTTGTCTCAAAAAATAAGATGGCCGGGCGTGGTGGCGCACGCCTTTAATCCCAGCACTCTGGAGGCAGAGGCAGGCAGATCTCTGTGAGTTCAAGGCCAGCCTGGTCTCCATGGTGAATCCAGGACAGCTGGGGCTACAGGGAGACCCTGTCTCAAAAAG